CAATTGCGCTCACTTTTCCGCATAATTTAATCCAAGCGAGCGATTTGGCAGATCACGACTAGTTTATCCAGCGCGAAGTATTTCAGCATCTCATAGGGATATTACGAATGATCGTGAAATATCCATGTAATGAATGACTTACGTTAATATTTAAAAGTTTCCCGTGTCGTGAAATTTCGTCACAATTGTGATAATCCTTCTGCTAATCTTACACTGTATGACCTCCAGTTCAAGAGAAGTACAAGGCGGAAGATTGAAGTTCTTCCGATACTAAGGCATATTATCACCACCTTCCGATACTAAAGCATCAAAACGGAAGATTGAAGTTCTTCCGATACTAAAGCATATTATCACCACCTCACAAGCAACTTCATCTATAACTCACAACTTACTCCAAATGACCGAAGTAATAACAACTTGGCATATTATGTATGTCATGTACTCAGATCTTGTCAGCATCTTGGTGACTCCGTCAATCTAACTCAAATGACCTCCACTTCAAGAAAAGTGAAAATGGTGTGAAACGGAAGCTTGAACTTCTTCAGATACAGTCTGCAATAAAGCAAACACGTTAACCCATATGCTCGCAGTAATAGTAACTCCACATTTTGCGTATGTAATATTCTGCATACCCATATCTTGTCAGCATCAGATAATTCAACGTCAGATAATTCAATATGCCAGTCTTAGAGAACAGGATCTCTAGTTTAAGCAAAATATATATGATGTGAGACGGAAGCTTGAATTTCTTCAGATGCAATCTCATATAAAGCTCACACCTTCCTCCATGTAATCGGGATATGAGCAACTCGGCATATTACATACATCATGATCAGATATCCTGTATCCTCAGATCTTGTCATCACCGTCGTAATCCTGTGTCAGTTTTACAGAACCTTACCTCGAGTTATATCAGCTTATCAGAATAAATCATTATATTCAGTCCCCGTCCATATCTTAAGTAATTGTAATCAACTAACAAGTTGTGCAGGTTTTCATCTTATTTGGTTTTACAATCAGCGTTTTACATTGGTATATCTCAGAATTATTCATGATCAAAACACGATGAGATAATTGAAGTGGTAAGCCCTCACAGGATTCAGCGGATTAATTTGTGATGTTTTGTGGTCTCTGTTCAATCACTCTTTATTGTTTATCGCATTGGAACATGGTCGTGTACTTCATCAATTTCGCATCGTCAAGCAAAATATATTACAGTGAACGTTCGTTAATACATAGCAGTGATCCCCACAC